ACACACACACACACACACACACACACACACACACACACACACACACACACACACACACAGCATATGACACGTATAGCTCGCTCTGCGGATCTTTGGATCACAGTCCCCTTCCCGGTATCATAAAAAGTCTCACCCACGCGCGGGCGCAATATAGGCGTGTTTGGGTGTTATTTACGACCAAAGTTCGTTCTCGTGTGAGGGTTATGGCTAGGGGTGCGATTAGGATTACATGGTTCGCACAGTCCTTGAAAAGTCCTTGAATTTGAGTGGAGTCTTTGAAAAGTACTTGAATTTAGTAAATGTTGATTTTGTGCTTGAAAAATCCTTGAATTTTTAGAAAGAATCCTTGCCTGTAATAAAATGAAATTTTGTACCATCAATAATGTGCAAACCTCAATAAAAAATGCGTCAAATGAGCTTAAAAAGCTATAGACACGATGGACGATGATCACGAATTACAATAAGTCAGTCAAATCAGTCAGTAAATCAAGATATGTTGTAGAAGTGACAGTGTTTAGAAGGGTTTATTAATGTGATCCAGGTAAGTTTTAGAGGTGACAGTGATTAAGAATGGGGTTATTATTAAATAATCCAGGTATGTTTTGTTCTGTGTACATGAATTCCGATAAAATGTCCTTGAATTTCTGATAAAATGTCCTTGAAAAGTCCTTGAAATTTTTTTCAGTTCTCCTTTATGAACCATGGATTAGACTTATGGTTACAGTTAGGGTTGGAGTTGTATTTAAACAGAGATTTCGATTGTTATTAATCGCAGTCGTGAATCCTGTATCGCAATATCGCCACTAATCATGTGTCATCACCTTCGGAACATTTATTTACCCTGCCGCACCTAGCCGATCCCCTCAACCCGTACTGCTAGCAGCTCAGGCTGCCCGCTCATGGTGCAATCGTCACTCAGCATGACTGTGCGTATTCGGCCCAGCGGCAGTAATGCTGTCCTTGAAGTATATATAAACGTCAGTGCGAGTGTGCAAATTTTAATTTTCATGCGTACAGTCTCTCACTATCTATCTCGACCTAGTTCAAGTGATGCCGTGTCAGACGAGGAGTTACGCGAGACTGTTCACCTAACCTGCGACTCTGTGTGCTTCCCACGCAGCTACAGTGAGTTCTTGACAGTGTACTGCCGTCTACGCAGTGCTTTTTCCACGCGGTAATATCAGAGAGCAAACGGCAGTCGTCGTGACCCGGCCTTTTTTAGCCAGAGAGAGAGAGAGAGAGAGAGAGAGAGAGAGAGAGAGAGAGAGAGAGAGAGAAATAGCTAGTATAAGCCACCGCCACAAACGACTACGCAGGGCGATCCTCTCTATACGCACTCGCGCGCGTGTGTTGGTATTTGGTAATAATCTGTGATAGGCAGGCAGTGTACGTACGCACACGTGTACTTACATACACACACAGGATACATACACACACAGGAACTTAGGAAGAGACTGCTACACAGCAGTTGTCGGTGTTTTGCTGTGATTTGATAGCCTCGCTGTAGTTATCACTACAGACTCACACTCGGGCGCACGTCATCATGAATGGTCTACGACTTGGCGGTCGTCTGCTCAGACACGCTCAACAGACGAGCAAATACACAGGTACGTTGATGATATTATAATAGATACACGTACTGTATGTACTAGCTCCAAGAAACGGTATTACTAGGGATAGAGCATTGCGTTAGTCACACAGCCTGGTCGGGTTAGTACTGTACCTGAGTGACACGCTGGCCACTGCAAGGGTAACCTTGACATTTAGCAGCTCGTTCGAATATATTGTATATATATCAGCTGTTACAACACCGGAAAAAACCGCCCCCTCATCACTTTGTCCACACCCTATTCCTACATAATTGTCAAATTTGTTAATGGAATATTAAATGTGAATGGTGGTTGGGTTTGTCTATATTCCCCGGCCCCCCCCCCCCACTCCGAGGTCGGAAGGACCGCATGCGCGTTCCCAAAATCTCCGGTAAAGGGGTATTTTTCGCGCGACAAAATTCGGCCCAAGAATTGTTTTAAAAAGGGGGGTGTATTTGACTTTTCACCCGGAGATTTCTTTAAAAAGGGGGTGTTTTCCCTCTCTCTCTTTCATCTTGAATATCATAGAAAACTTTATCAAATCCTGTGTGTGTGTGTGTGTGTGTGTGTGTGTGTGTGTGTGTGAGAGAGATAGAGAGAGATGGGCGATTGTTGTGTTGTTGCTGGGTAATGGATGCTTTAGTGGAATGCTGTGGAAAGAAAGGAAGCTGGGACAGTCACTGTGGAAGGAGGAGTAATAATCAAATACTTTGGCAACAGAGGAACACACATATGCACACAGTTTCCATGACAATGAAAGAATCTTTCACTATTGTTGTCGCAGCAGAAAAACTGGCAGCAGTTACTGTGGCAGCAAATCAAGGAATCTGTAACAGTGACCATGAATTCGGAACAAGATATCTGGGACAGTTGTCATAGCAACAGAGCAACTCGCAACAGAGCCAAAGTTATATGCTTTTGAGATCTCTCTGTATCTGAACTAAACGAACGTCTCCTGCATTTAAACCTAATTTAACCTTAAATCGTGCTGATTTAATAACTCATTATATTCTTAAGATACGATTGCAATGAAGTAATTGGTTACGATGTGAATAAATTACAAAACGTTGCATGTATGCATGTACACGTGCTGATGCAGTATATGTCACTTTGTTTAAAATTGTACATGTAGATAATTTACGTGATATATTTCTAATCTTATAATTTATTAAATAATAATAATATAATAACACAATAGGGTGATTATAACAACAGTTTCTGATTGCATTGTTTATTCAACTCGTGTGTCCAATTTATTCATATTAATTCAACGTTTACACGTTTATTTAATTTATCAATCGTTGGTTATTGTTGATTCTTACTAATTATTTATGATCCCTATACTGTGTATATAAAGACATTTAGAAAATGAGTACGTTGTGTGAGTGTGTTTTACATGTTCATGTTTTGTTCGCATAAATGATAAAATGTTGTCACGTACGCAAATAACATTGACAACGAGATCCACGTGACGTACAACCCTGTATCTAGCTCGGTCGCTGTTACTGTCACTACCACTGACTACACGCACGCACGCACGCACGCACGCACGCACGCACAAACACAACACACACACACCACACACCGACAGTTGAAACACCCACACACAACAGCTGACACACACATCACCACAACGACACGACACACACACACACACACACACACACAGCACACACAAACACACACACACACACCCAGCATATGACACGTATAGCTCGTCTCTGCGGACTTTGGATCACAGTCCCTTCCGGTATCATAAAAGTCTCACCCACGCGCGGGCGCGAAGTATAGGCGTGTTGGGTGCTTATTCTCGACCAAAGTTGTTGGCTCGTGTGAGGGTTATGGCTGAGGGGTGCGATTAGGATTTACATGGATATCGCACAGTCCTGAAAATTCTTGATTTGAGTGCAGTCTTGAAAAGTATTGATTGAGTAATGTTGTTTTGATGCCTTGAAAATCCTTGAATTTTAGCAAAAGAATCCTTGCTGCTAATAAAATGAAATTTGT